ATGTAAGAAAATAATCAAATCACTTGGGACTAGAATATCGAATATCAGCACTAGGCACAACATAGTAATAGATATCCCAACAGATTTAAAATTAATGGCAACTTTTGAACCAGATCAACTAGAAGAACTGAATGAGTCTAAGCCAACACTAAATAGTGACCCTGAAACTGAAGCTGATAGCGACATTGAGCCACTTGAATTAACAGAACCAAACATGGCTGTAAATCAAGTGGCCTTAGACCGCGAATATGTAAGACAGGTATCGTCTACAATTCCGGAATTTGATGGCAAAAAGCTATCACTGGCCAGATTTCTAACGGCTTTAAGACTAGTCGATCGTACTAAAGGTACACAAGAAGACTTAGCCGTAGAAGTCATAAAGTCTAAAATAATTGGCCCAATTTTGTACAAAGTACAAAATGAAACATCCATTATTGGTATTATAAATAAATTAAATACCAATATCAAAGGCGAGTCAACTGACGTTATCAAAGCTAAGTTGCTTAACATAAAGCAGAAAGGCAAGTCAGCCTCGCAATATACAGCTGAAATTGACAGTTTGCGTAAGCAACTGGAAGCAGCCTATATTGACGATGGACTAGATTTTGATAACGCAGAGAAATTTTCTACTAAAGAAACAATATCTGCCATGACAAAGAATTGCGAATACGAAAAGCTTCGCATAATATTAGAAGCGGGCAATTTCAGCAATTTCAATGATGCTATGGGTAAATATATCCAATGCAGCACTGAAATGACTGGATGCCCAAGTACAATATTGTACTACAAAGGCAGAAGCGATCGTGGAAATTACAGCCGTAACAACCAAAGAGGTAGAGGCAATAGCCGCGGCAATAGTAATTTCCACTATAATGGTAATAACAACAATAGGGGTAATTTCAGAGGAAATTACCGAGGTGGCAACCGAGGTAGAAACAATTCAAACCGAGGTGGCTACCAAAACCAGAACAGTAACAATAGAGGTAATGTCCGAGTAACTCAAGGTAACTCGGAAAACCAACAGACCCCCTCAGATGTTCAAAGCCAATAAATGGCTCTATAAAAACCATCAACCTTAATCTTAGCATGTTTGTAAAAATTAAGAATGAAAGAACAGGTAAATCAATTACACTATTAGTAGATACTGGTGCAGATATATCCATATTAAAAGAAAATACAGATATATTCGAAAATGTAAACGAAAAAATTACTACCCAAATATCGGGTATTGGCGAAGGCATAATTCCTTCAAAAGGCTTAGCCTTTATAGAACTCACTACAGGCAAATATATAATTCCACATAATTTTCATTTAGTCGAACAAAACTTCCCAATACCGAGTGATGGCATACTAGGCATAGATTTTATAAAACAATATAATTGCCAACTAGATTTCACTCAAAGTGGCGACTCACTTATTCTTCGCCCAAACAACTTAAATTATCCAATTCGATTAAAAATACTTCATACTTGTGACAATAATGCCACAGTACTCCCAGCTCGTTCCGAAGTTGTCCGTGAAATACAAATTCCCTCAATACAAAATCAAATTCTTATATTAAATCAAGAAATTGATGAAGGAATTTACATCGCAAACACGATATCCAATCACAAAAATACATATGTCCGTATTATAAATACAACAAATGCCAATAAGATAGTAAACTTAAATAAAATAAAATATGAAACTTTGAACAATTATGATATAGTAAAAGAAACCAACGAAGGAAGAGACAATTTCGTTATGGAAAAATTAACCAAAAACTTTCCACCTTTATTTAAAAATCAATTAAAAGATTTATGCACCAGATAACCGACATATTCGGATTAGAAACCGAATCGATAACAACTAATAATTTTTACAAGCAAAAGCTTAGATTGAAGGATGATGAGCCCGTATACAAAAAAAATTATAGAAGTCCTCACAGCCAAGTACAAGAAATTCAAGCCCAAGTGCAAAAACTAATAGACGACAAAATAGTCGAACCATCAGCCTCAGAGTATAATAGCCCACTTTTATTAGTTCCGAAGAAGTCCCTTCCGGACTCTGACAAGAAGAAATGGCGATTAGTAATTGACTATCGTCAAATTAATAAAAAGCTATTGTCCGATAAATTTCCGCTACCGAGAATTGATGATATTCTACATCAGCTAGGTAGAGCAAAATATTTTTCATGCCTAGACTTAATGTCTGGCTTTCACCAAATCGAACTCGAAAAAAGTTCTAGAGATATAACGTCATTTTCAACGAGCAATGGCTCGTATCGCTTTACGCGATTACCATTTGGCTTGAAAATAGCCCCAAACTCCTTTCAAAGAATGATGACAATAGCATTTTCTGGTCTCCAACCATCTCAGGCCTTCCTTTATATGGATGATCTGATAGTAATCGGCTGTTCCGAAAAACATATGGTCAAAAATTTAACTGAAGTTTTTGACAAATGTAGGAAATTCAACCTGAAACTACATCCAGAAAAATGTTCATTTTTCATGCATGAAGTCACATTTTTGGGACATAAATGCACTGATAAAGGAATCTTGCCAGATGATAAAAAATACGACGTCATAAAGAACTACCCAGTCCCACATGATGCGGACAGCGCTAGGCGATTCGTTGCATTTTGCAATTACTATAGGCGCTTTATTAAAAATTTGACTATTCACGTCACATAACAAGATTATGTAAAAAAGACGTTAAGTTCGAATGGACGTCTGAATGCCAGAATGCCTTCGATCACCTCAAAATGGCTCTTATGAACCCAACCTTGTTACAATATCCAGATTTCGCTAAAGAATTCTGCATAATAACTGATGCAAGTAAGCAAGCGTGTGGAGCGGTTTTAACTCAAAACCATAATGGACTCCAACTTCCAATTGCATACGCATCAAGATCCTTTACTAAAGGAGAAAGTAACAAGAGTACTACTGAGCAAGAATTAGCGGCTATTCATTGGGCAATAACGCATTTCCGACCATATATTTATGGTAACCATTTCACGGTTAAAACTGACCATAGACCGCTAACCTACTTATTTTCAATGGTTAATCCAAGTTCAAAGTTAACACGTATGAGGCTTGAATTAGAGGAATATAATTTTACGGTAGAATATCTGAAGGGTAAAGATAATTTCGTAGCCGATGCGTTATCAAGAATAACCATAAAACAGCTACAGGAAATAACAGGGACAATCCACAAAGTCACTACAAGATATCAAAGTAGACAAAATTCCTGCGCAGGAAAATATCAGGTAGAATTGCCAAGGCAATCTACAGAAAAAGCTTCACAGCCCAACGTATACGAAGTCATTAACAATGACGAGGTACGCAAAGTAGTGACCTTGCATATAAAAGATACGCTTTGTTTCTTTAAATATGGCAAGAAAATTATTGCAAGAATTAACATTGGTGATCTATATACAAATGGAAATATTGACTTAGGTCAACTATTCCCAAGGCTCGAAAATGAAGCCGGTATATTGAAAATAAGCCAATTGAAAATGGCACCGTGGGAAAATATCTTTGATACAATTTCAATAGATAATTTCAAAAATATGGGCAATAAAATATTGACTAAATTAAGGGTAGCGCTACTCAACCCGGTGACCACAATAACAAACAATAAAGAAAAAGAAGCTATATTGTCTACACTACATGACGACCCAATACAAGGAGGTCATACTGGCATTACAAAAACCTTGGCCAAGGTCAAACGACATTACTTTTGGAAAGGTATGACTCGAGATATTACTGAGTACATACGTAAATGTCACAAATGCCAGAAAGCTAAAATTACTAAGCATAGTAAGACCCCATTAATTATAACTGATACACCTGTACATGCGTTCGATAGGGTTATAGTGGACACAATTGGTCCGCTACCCAAATCTGATAATGGTAATGAGTACGCAATCACATTAATTTGTGACTTGACTAAATACCTAGTCGCGATACCAATACCAAACAAAAACGCTAGTACAGTAGCCAAAGGTATATTCCAATCTTTTATGAAGACGTTCATTACGGACATGGGAACAGAATACAAGAACTCAATTATAAATGATTTGTGCAAGTTTATGAAAATAGACAACATAACATCAACTGCACATCATCACCAGACAGTTGGAACAGTCGAAAGAAGTCACAGAACTTTTAACGAATACATACGATCTTATATATCAGTTGATAAAACTGATTGGGACGTATGGCTCCAATACTTTGTCTATTGTTTTAATACGACCCCTTCTACGGCACATAATTATTGTCCGTATGAATTAGTATTTGGTAAGACATGTAATCTACCAAAATACTTCAATAGCATAGCAAACATAGAACCAATATATAACATAGATGATTATGCTAAGGAGAGTAAGTATAGATTAGAAGTAGCATACAAAAGAGCAAGAAATATGCTAGAATTAAATAAGATGAAACAAAAGAAGCGATATGACTTAAATAGTAAGGAATTAAAATTATCCATAGGAGATAAGGTTTTATTAAAAAATGAAGTAGGACATAAACTAGATTTTAAATACACAGGGCCCTATAGAGTAGAAAAAATAGAAGATAGGGATAATATAGTTATTTCTGGAAATAAGAATAAAACGCAAACAGTCCATAAGGACAGATTAAAAATTTTTAATTCATAATCAAGCATGCAAAAATACAAAAAAAAATATATATATATAAAAAAAAAAATAATATATAATAATAATAGAAATAAATAATTATTAAGGAAAATAACTCCATTGTATTACGTTATTTTTTAAAAGGAGGGAGATGTAGCATGCGTACATATGTATATACATACATATGAATAAGGCTGCAACACTTTGTTGTTATGCCAACAGAATGCAAACATAATCAGCGACTTTGTCGCAGCGCGCCTAACGATAAGTGCCCTCTGCGCATATTCAAGTGCAGACGAAATATGATCCGCACTTGATAACAACGACCGCCCAAATAGCTAAGTCAGCGTTCTCACGCTTGACCGTCGTTGTGTATACATATGTGCGCGCATGACTCTCTCTGACTCTCTTGCTGTATATAATAATCCAAAAACCATGTATGTAAAACGGCTGCTCACTGCTTCGCGGTGGACAGCTCGAACTCGAAAAGAAAACAGATAATAAAGAACCATCAAGAAAGACAGAAGTCTTTTAAAACTTGGAACCATTACATAATACGTTGTGCCGCCAGCGGCTCCTTGCCGTAATTTGGCCAAAGGGATGACGGCACCTTGCCGTAAAAACTGTGGGGTGGCTGGTCTCATTAGCCGCCTCACAAGTTGTACGCCAAAGTTGTTTTCGTAGTTCCCAGTTGCCTGCATTGGCTCCAAAATTATCGCTTGTTGGTTCTCCTGTGCCGGAGTGTAGCTGAGCGTTGGCTGTGAAATGGGGCAATAGGCAGTGCCTCAAACAAAGATGGCGATCTGCTCAAAATGGCAGTTCCATTCAAATATGTAGTCTCACTCAAACTTACTCTTGAATTTGGGACTACACTCATAGTTGCAGTTTCACTCAAACTTCCACCCGACGGTGGCTCTCCGCTCAAAGCTGCGAGCAAAGATGGCGGCAGGTTAGCTGTACTACTCACGCCAGCATTACTCATCGGGATAAGTAACTGTACTCACATGTGCTTCACCAGTTTTTGACCTCTGCAACTCGTCCTCTAGCGCAGCGACTCTCTTTATCAAGTCCCTGACTTGCGTACTTGAGAGTTGCGTGCTTGGGCTTGGCGTTCCTGCCAATGTGCTGGCTCGTGCACTCACTCCCGCGTCCATAGTGCCGGCAGGTTGTACACTTGTGTCCACATCCACGGTGCTGGGGCTTTAGGGCTAACAACGGGAATTTGCATTTGTGGTACAGTGCTCACCATTCTACTTGTCTGCTTTAGCTGCGTCCCACTCGCAGTGGTAGCTATCTCCTGGCCATCATTTAAGCGTGGGCTTTTCCTGGGTGACCGTTGTGTCATCTTTATTAGCTCGGAGATGGTTTCTATTATATTTTACGCTGGCTGCGTACTAATGGTGACTATAATTGGGTGGAGGCAGGCCCTGCCTATACTGTGTCTCTCTACACACACTATAAAACCAAAGTTACAGTACGTCTTGTCTTCAGCGCAAGTCGCCCTTGCTGTTTCTTACAATAAGAACTGCGAATAAAAGGATCATGTCGCGTGCCAAACGAAGGTGAAGTTGCGATTTGAACACTTCAAGGTTTACGCCTGGCCCCCGGCCATGCTGCTTCGATGTAAATAGAGACAGCGTAATGCAAAACGTGATAGTGCAAGTGTTTTATTCTAAACGAATTACATAGGTTAGAACTTAGATAAACATTCCCTCAGAATCTTACCGCAGTCTTTCCTCCTACGACTTTCAAACTCATGACAATAATGAGCTTATCATTTAAGTAATGGCGGCAACAAGCCAAATACCGTGTGCCCGTACATTCAGACGGCAAAAATGCATACTTTCAGAATATACTTAATACTGAACAATCGATAACCTAGTTCGTCCCGCAACACGAACTAACAAATCTAGTTCATGCCATTTATTTGGCAAAAACTAATAAAATTAACTCAATAATATTGTCAACATTAGAAGTCAAAACAATAGAAACAATTTTAGAAAAAGAAATGTTCTTTAATGCAGAAGAACTATTAGAAGGTGTTCAAATAAAGATAGCAACAAATTACAAAAGCCTGTTATACATAATTAATATACCTTTAATTGCAAATAAAATATGTACTGCTATGTTATCAAAGCCCACTCAAAATTGTAATACAATAAATGAAGTAAAATACGAAAACATTGTGAAATGTGGCAAAATGATATATGCAATAACAGACCTTTGCGAATGTCATAACGATCTTATGAAATATGAATAATCTAATCTACAAAACGATCAATAACCAACTAGTACCGCACTATGAAGAACTATTCAGCGGAACAATACAGTGACATTAACGGAAAGCTGAGAATCGACATAGAAGAAATGGAACTCAAAAGAATTCAGTTCTAAAACTCGTCCGTTGCCATAGTAGATGAAGCAAAAGAGATAGTCTTCGCAGAAGGGAAACCATCCATGTTTCAAATAATTGCAGCAAAAAAACAAAGTCGACGAGGTACTCTCTCTGCAGATGGAGGCTAATTTCAATAATACCTAATAGACAACGTTACAACAACAATTAATTTTACCCTGGTATATTGTTGATGTTAATTATTGTAATTATCGCATACTCAATGAGATGAAAGGTCTTCGTTACAACACAGCAGATAACTATAGAAGTTGTGGAAGGAGAATCAGCTGCTGAAGACGTAGTTACAAGTAAAACGCTTTTACATCCCGTCCGATTACGTATGCGTTTAAAGGGGGAGAAGTTAAATACGAAGTTGACCAAAAAAGCATGGACATGTTCCCATGTTATCGCGGCCACAATGCATGCACCTTTGCCACGTGCGCTGCGTCAGCGATTTCACAAAACAGCCCATCCATGAGAGCCTTTCTCCGGCAGGGCTGGGAGTCGCGACAGACCGCACTTACTTGATATGCCTCTTCTCAACAGCAACGCCAATATTTAAGTGTTATTGAGAAAACAAATTTTAAATAGCAGCATAGAAAAGATAGATTAAATTCGAGCCAGACGCGCATGAATATACAGATACATACAGATATTTTTGTAATTTGCGCTTGCTGCCCCATCTAATTGCACAGTAACTTTTGGGTTTTTCTTAACCGATCTTAATGAAATTTTCTACTAGATATATTATTGTATAATATAATATTTATGTATTATTAAAAAGTCAATTGCATTAAAATTGTGGATTAAATTGGTGGGCTATATAAGTTGGGCTATTAACTCGTTACCACAGAGCTGGTAGCGGGGAGATGACATAGGTGTAAAATAAAAAATACGTGAAATGTATATAATATTCTTGAAGCAACATATCGATTTTGGTGACTCTAACTCTTAATATATACTCAATTTGTTCAAAGTACAGAATGTCGATATCGATTTATATATTGGAAACGGAGTAATTTGTCGATTATCGGAAACAAACTCGATCAGCGCAGGCACTAGGAGGACCTACAGCTAAAATTTCAAGTCTCCAGCTCTTAAAGGCTCCGATATCCTCGCGTTCATATATACGCACAGACGGACAGTCGGACAGACGGACAGACAGACAGACGGACGTGGCTAGATCGACTCGGCTATTGATGTTGATCAAGAATATATATACTTTACATACATTTGCACAAATACATAATACCCTTTTTACACATTTTTAATGGGTTCAGGGTATACAAAACCACTTCATCCAAATGGGACCGGTTTCATCGTTACAAGTAATATCATTTAATTAATTAAATTCTACAAATATGCTTGTTTTGTTTTTTCTGTTTTCCTTGGCTTTTTTTTTTACTATTTAAAAACCACTACATTCAAATTGGACCGAGTCTATCGTTCCATTTAATCTTTTTTGTTTAATTTAAATAAACAATTATTTTCTCGGTTTCTCCACTGTCATCCAATTCTTATGCTCTTTATGAGCCTTTTTAGCCAATTAATGATGATAAAAGCAGTAAGCAACCATTTTCCGTTCCATCAATACAGCCCAGAAGATCAATTTCTCTTTCACACCCTCCGATAAAAAAGGATTCTTTGCCATCAATCATAAAAACTGTTCCCAATCCTTCCTCGTAAAAGTTTGCTATTCAATATTTCTTTCAAGGGTCTCCGCTAAGGCTTCGACAATTTCGGTGTCCGGTCCTCTAACCACTCGTGCAGCAGGTTCTCCAGCACCCAAAAAATGGCGCTCAGCGAATTCATTGCCGTGACTGACAGACTCAGTTAGTTTGAGGTAAGAATTAACTCGTCTCCCAACCTTGTAGTGTCGCTCTACACTCTTTTCAGCTAGTTGAACTAAACGCGCTCTTTGCGTCCAGCGACGTGATGATGCAGTATTTTATTTTTGTCCCATTCCGCCATTGGGCCCTTCAATGGCTTGTGTGGCAATGCCTACCATATGGCTGATGGCTTTATGGCGATACCCACCACATGGCTGATGGATTGGGTAGTGCTACGTTTCTTCCGCAATCCAAACTGATGCTCTGATAGCTCTTGACATTTCTCCTTCCTTCGTCGTGCGGTCTGCTACAAATTATTTGCTCGAACATTTTGCCAACCACGTCGATTATTAGCGAAGCTCGTGCATAGTTATGTGATGTTATCCAGTATATCGCCGAACTCGTTGATTTCTTTGTTGGGTGCAATATAGCAGCTATATATTTATATATATAAATGTTAACCATTGCAGCAGCAGCCGGCTAGCCGGTTTTTCTCGTTTTTTCCCCGTGATTGCAGTCGTGGCGGAGAAGTTTGGACTCCACGTTCTTTGTTAGTGCTATTCTGCTCACTTGGTGATTGTGTTGTGGCGGCTTTCTGGATCTCCTTTATCCTGGCAAGATCATCTTTCATACCCTGGTTGATATGGCGCACAACCGGTTTGTTACCTCCAACAGTCGAGAGTAGTCTGTCCTAATTCGCTCCCAACTCAAGATGTACTGTGCACTGTGGTGGTGCACGTTCCATGCCCTTTTAGTTTTTTTCTCTGGGCGGTCGTTTCTTGCTTTTGGAAAACTACAAATATCCCTGTCGTCTCCAGCCATGCGCTCCTCCGTGTGTGCTGCGTGCTGTGCAGGCTATGTTGTTTGCTGGAGGGTTCTTGCCATCTTCGCATTTTAGCGGAATGGATCGATTTCTATGCAGCTGTAATGTTGCTTGTCCGCTACGAAAGCCAAGTCTGCCACCATCGTAGTAGTTTGGTTGGCAACGGTTTTCAGAACCTCCAGAATCCGTATTCCGACCATGGACTGTCCCACGGGTGAATTTTCACATGTGTGACTGCCACCTGTAGTAGTATCATTAAAACAACTCCTTTCCATATGTTGTATTTTATGCCTACTGAGAGCTTATACGCGCAGCCAGGTTTACTGACGGCCGATTCGGTGCAGATCAGACCACCAAGCCATTCAATATGAATCAGACGCTTAGTGGGGTTGTAGTTTTGTGCGAGGTGGAGTCAAGTCTCCGCAGTGGTTCTGCGATGGCTCAAGGTTTCACTCAGCGCTTAGCGGTTAGTCGCTATACCGCTCCGACTTGGTCACTCGGGCCGCTTTCAGGCACACCACATTCGTGGGCGAGTTGGCCATTGTTTGGTTTCCAGACCTTATGTACCTTTTCCCATGGGAGAATTGTTAATTCTAAAATGCCTTGATTTGCATACCAGTTAATATTAAGTATTGCGACTTGTGGGTATGCAACGTTTCCCGCTTTACAGGTGGTGTGTATCCCGACTAAGGATGGCAGTGCCCTCTATCTTTGGCAACCAACGCTTAGTAGAGTGGCCAAGATCTGCAACACCACTACAGCCGTGTAACGTATCGTGTCTTGGATTGCATTGCATCTTGCAGCACTGCTATCAGCGGATTCGTTTACCATCTGTAGCATATGTACCACGATAACGAATACTTTACCAACCCAAACCGATTTGGACCTCGTCAGTTATTACATAAGATTGGAAAAGCAACCACACATAACAACTGATTGATGCAACAGCAATGCTTAACAAGAACATCGCAATAAAAGTGAACGTACATTAGCGAGGCTACACTTAATAACCACACCAAATGACTAAGCTACAAAACGGGCACATAAAATTGCGCTCATTCATATAGACATAGGTCAGTCGTGGTAAATATTCTACGGTTAATGTTTAATTAATCATTTAATTAATTTTATTTTTAATGTTAATTGCTCCTGTCTTTTGGTGTTAGTATCCTGAAGAGGCTTGCTGATGTGCAGCCGAAATATGTCTAAATATAAAAATTAAAGCAGAATTGTGTTTAATTTTTGTTTTTAATAAGCCCCGGACCTGAGACAGCTTTACTTAAATTTAATAAGTTATTAAATAAAAAAATAATAAGTTATTAAAAAAAAAATAAATAAATAACTTAATGTGTGGTCAGGGCTAGATTGTGTAGTTTATATTGGAAAAAACGCTTTTGCGCTGTTCTACATTATCCTGGTGAAGTTCCAGCAAACTCCAAATCTTCCTGCTTAATTATCGAAATCCGATAAGTTGGCGCTAAAACCTTACCCAAAAGATCTTTGAATTTTAAACCTAGGAAGCTTGGATTCTGAAAAAAATGCGAAACACTCCTCAAATGATTAAATTCATTGTTTATTGTTCAATCTCAATTTTACACTTTTTGGAAATGGCTTACGGCAGTTGACGAAAAATCATTTGAGACGTGTTTTACACTTTGTGCAGACTCCAAGTTCTTTTGTAAATATGCGTATAATTAGTGGACAGGTAATATCTTAAATTTATAGCACAAAATGTGCCACGGACAAGGATGTGCACAAATCACTAGTATATATTAGTGTTGAATAATTTAAGATAAAACAACGTTAAACCAATAAAATAATTTAAATTTTTAACTTTATTGAGTAACAAATACGTTATTTAAACTAATATTTTACCTTATATATTTTAATGTTAACTTTCTATTTCACATTTTGTATTTTAATCTACAGTATTGAACACATGCATAAATTGCGCATATGTTATAGAATTAAATATATTGTAGTATAAATTAGGTCTTGGTTACAGTTTGCTGTAAAGATTGGAAAAATCTTTAATAATAATTAATGAAGTCTCACGCACACTAACAGTGCTATGAATATATGTTGTATATATTACTTATTATTATTAAGTTTGGTGAAATAGGAACGAACATAATCTCATACATATGTACCAATGACTATTCATTACAAATTCTTTGCCTAAAGGGATTCTCAAATGTTTTAATTGCCTGGCATATGCGTGCATGTACCTGTAAAATATAAATGTTAAAAATTGTGAAATTAAGTTGTGAACATGTACACATAAAAGTTACTCAAATGTAGTTTACAAAGTATTGGGCCAAAATAAAATATTACTCATGCAGCGCACAAGGTTCGTTTTTTTTTTTTTATTTATTAGAGCCCTGCACAAATGCATATGTATGTACATGCATATGCTAGCAACTGCTTCAAAAAAACTCATCGATATTATTCATTTTTTACCAAGCATTTTTTGTCCAAACAAATTAAAGTAAACGCGAAGCTTAAACCATGCTCGTTAGCCTCGTATGCAACAAGATTAACAAAATGGGATATGTCAATAGAAAATAATTGAAAAATGCGAACATTCTTTCGAAATATTATGTCAATTGTAAGATAGTCATTGCTCCCAAATTGAAATCAGTTATTGTGTTCCTTGGTCTCCCATTAGTTATTACTTATCTTTTGTGAAATGTTTTTTAAATTTTTATCATGAGTACGTTTCTAACAAATGATCATGAATCTAAGTTACATATCTTCGGTTAAGAAAGTTAACACGAATAAAACAATATCTCGTTTTCTATTTCGTTTGGATTTGCGCTAGGCCCTAGTTATGGTATATAAATATTTATGTCGATCTTACTGCACCCAAAAATTATTCAAGAATTCACATCCCACCATTTGAAATGATTTTATCTGTATCTTCTACAGTTAATGAACTAGAGTTGTAAAATTTAGAAGAAAGACTGCTGATGAGCTTGGGGAGACATATCTTAATAAGTAGATTGGCGCGTTTGGACTGAAAATGCTTTCCAACTGGATGCAGTGGATGAGTTTATAATTTATTATTTATTTATAATATTAAAAAGAATACCTATGCCACATTTGGCATGGACGATACCATATATTGCAGCTTGCATTAGTACTAAAAATAACTCTGTCGTCAATTTCCTTAAATCTAAAGCAAAGGGCGGTACTTTCTACGTTGAAAGAGCTGAAACTAGCTGTAAACAATTTTGTGTATATATTTTTCGGCTTATATTTTAACATTGACTTATTCATCATATTCTCTGCATGAAACAAACGGCTTTAAACTGTACAATTAAGTTGTACTCATATTTAAGTTTCTGGCGGGATGCAATCGATACTTAAAAGGAGTAAGTTTTTAATATTGACAATAACAGCCTAGTAAATCTAGCCATGTCAGAAAGTTCTTTTATATTTGTATAGTTTTCTCTTATGGTTTGAATTAATTTAAGCTATTACCGACCAAAAGAAAAATATTAAATATATTTCATACTGATGATACTTATACAAAAATCGTAATAAACCATGTTAATAATTTAAATATGGTCAGGTCAACATTTTATAGGTTATATTAGTATAAAAACGCTATTGCGCTGGTCTACAGCGTCCGGCTGAAGTTCCAGCAAACTCCAAATCTTTCTGTTCGATTATGGGAATCCGATCATCGTACAAAGTTGGCGCTTGTAAAATTATTCCAGCTGTACCCGCCAAAACAGCTAATGTAAAGATCCATAAAAAGAGTCTATCCAGCACCATTGCGACATATTTCCAATCTTCTTTAACCTTTTATATAAAATTAATATAAGTTTTACAATAAACATTATATTTTGTAGTTTCGAATTAGTATTTAATTACTCACTTTTGTAGAATCCTCCTGCATTTTGGTATGCTCTGCAATAAATCTTACACAAAAGCAGCTCCGATGAACTCGAGGTGGGCATTTTGAATGAGAAAAGGCGGGGTTTTTTAATATTGGGCTCTTCATTCCTGAATTTCCAGAATCTAGATCAGGAACAGCTGTTAAGTCGTCTGAACTAGAATGCGTAATTTGGGGCAATGGTCCATGAACTTGACAGCTGCCACCAAAAGGACCCGTGCTGGTTAAACTAAATTTTTGTAAAAATAAAATAAAATAGCTAGTTTTATAATTAAGATATATAAAAGCTTTGGATAGGAATGTTTATCAGCAATAATTTAGCTTAAGTTTAATCACCATGATTGAAATAAGTTTATTTTTCAGTTTAGCACCCAAATTGACGAATATGATATGGCTTATTTCAGCTATTGTGCAAGTGTATGTTGCTTTAAATCTGAACTACAATATACATATAAAATTACGCATATTAAAAATAATGTTCCTTTTCATTTTTTCGGTCGATCTATTTGCGGTGATGGAACTTAACTATATTGCTTATTTTATTTATTATAAGGAATTAATAGTTGCTGATATCGCAGCGGTAGCACAATTGTACGTTTTCGCGCACTAATCTTACTACTTGACGATGAGTTTCCGATAAACTAGCGACGGTGACTCACCGTCGATTTTTGGTACTTGGTATCGGAATAGCAATCGCTCATTTTTAAATTTATTATACACTGAACCACTAACCAAACAACATATAGACTAGACATGAGTACCAGAAGTAGACACAAAATGTATCGGAGGCATCTGGTCCAAACTCGCGAGTAAGGGAGTAAGATATACATATGATGTATTTTTGAACCGCTTATTCTACAGGAAAGTGCTTGGCGCACTCTCTTCCATATGATTTGTGCGATAAAACGGCAACGCTGTTAACTTTTATCTCGCTCGCACTTACTCTCAGCTCTCAATGCTCTCTCTATGTTTAGGGATCGTTTCAATGTGTGTGTGTGTGTATTTGTCCGACGAGCAAAACTGCGCACAAATTAAATTTTTCCCAAATGCTGAGGCATTTCTACCCTTTTGAAGGCACGGCTAATATGAAATATAGAAAGGGTTTGCCACGTCGATGCGAAATTCTTGCATGTTAGCTCGCTATCGTTGGTAAGGGTACCCAAGCGTTGCCATGTGTGCATTTAGAATATTTTGGACTCGCTATACACGCATACTTGCATATTTTGTGTAGAAGCATTTATGCGCTTGTGTGCCTGTTGCTTGCCTGCCTGCCTGTCCCCGATGCAAATTTAACAAGATTTTAGGATTTCTGATTTTGGACCTCTGCACACAGACACACACATACAAATGTCTGTGAATGGGCTGATCATGGGCGCAAAAGAAAATACATTATTGGCACGCGTCTGACGCGCGCCCTTCTTTTTAATGATTTTGAATGAAATTTGAATAAAAATAAAAATCTTTAAAATATTAAAATATACCAAATTAAAAAAAAAGGAGCGATTATATATTTACAGTTTTAATAACTTTGGTGATTAGTCACTTGACCTCTATATGCAGGTGCTTGCCAAAAGTTGACCCATTCGACCCTACGAACTGCTGCAGGTAATAAGGGGTCAACATTCATTCATCAAAATCTTAAGAAAGAAGTGCTCGCGTCAGACGCATAATGATTTTTTTTTTTTGCGCCCATGATCTGCACATTCACATTTGTATGTGTGTGTCTATGTATAGAGATCAAAAATAAGAAATCCCAAAATCTTGTTAAAATTGCATCGGGGACAGGCAAGCAGCAGGCACACAAGCGCATAAATGCTTCTATTCATATACAAAATATGCAAGAATGCGTGTATAGCGAATCCAAAATATTCTAAATGCACACATGGCAACGCTTGGGTACCCTTACCAACGATAGCGAGCTAAAATGCAAGAATTTCGCATCGACGTGGCAAACCCTTTCTCTATTTCATATTAGCCGTGCCTTCAAAAGGGAAGAAATGCCTCAGCATTTGGGAAAAATTGAATTTGTGCGCAGTTTTGCTCGTCGGACAAATACACACACACACATTGAAACGATCCCTAAACATAGAGAGAGCATTGAAAGCTGAGAGTAAGTGCGAGCGAGATAAAAGTTAACAGCGTTGCCGTTTTATCGCACAAATCATATGGAAGAGAGTGCGCCAAGCACTTTCCTGTAGAATAAGCGGTTCAAAAATACATCATATGTATATCTTACTCCCTTACTCGCGAGTTTGGACCAGATGACACCGATACATTTTGTGTCTACTTCTGGTACTCATGTCTAGTCTATATGTTG